TATTATTATTATTATTATTATTATTCAAATGTAACAAAACTTTGCGTCTTCCCTGTGTTTCAGAGACGGACCAGGGTTTGCCAGTTTGGGCTTTCGTGTTGCTGGTTGTGGGAATCTTGGCTTTGATCGTCGTAGCCTGGTGTTGTTGGCGATACTTTAGGTGAGCTAGAACTTTTGGATTTACTTTTTGTCTCAATTTATGCATGTGAAGATTTTCGCTTTTTTAATATGCGTTATGACGCGCACGGTGGAGTCAGGCACTTGTCAATTTTTGGGCGTGTGGAGTTATTGGTATCAACTTAAAGCTTTTTCATTTGTCTTGTTTTCGATGAAAAGATATCCATTTGTCTAGAATGCAAGTCGAGATATTGGCAATTGAAGGAGGTAGAGGTCAACTGGTTTCAACACCTTTCATGTCCATTAAAGAACACATTCATATGCTGATTTTACTGGAAAAAACATTGATTGAAGGCACAGAAAATGTAAATTTTCCGTTTTCATGGACTCTCAAGCAATGGAAATAACTAAATTTTGGCAGCCATTTTCTCGCTAATTTTACGTCTGACACCAGGGGGCCGACATCTCCTTCAATAACGGGTATCTCGACTACTATTCATATTAGTATGGTGGGGTTTTTTTCTTTAAAAAAAAAAAAGAAATGAACTTTAAAATGATACCAGTAACTCCATCTGTGGAAAATTTGATGAGCACTTAATTCCAGCGTATCATGACATACTTTTTCTTTGGTTTCTTCGGTCACTTTATATGTGAGGCAGCGTGGTGAGATCAGGAGCTGGTTAAAATAATGAAAGTCAAGAAACCGGCATTTTTTCGCAGGTTTGGGAATTTTTACAGAGTTGTTGTTTTTTGGCTCAACACCTTTCATGTTCATTAAAGAACACATCTCTGTGTGGGTTTTACCGAAAAACATTGATTGAAAGGCACAAAAAAATGTAAATTTTCAGTTTCCACGGACTCTCAAGATAAGGAAATAGCTAAACTTTGGCGCCTAGAGACCAGGGAACTCCCACCTCCTTCAATGGCCAATATCTCGACATGTATTCAAGATTTTTTTTTCATTGCAAGCATGAAGAATGAACAAGCTTTAAGTTGATATCAATAACTCCACATGCCCAAAAATTGACGAGCGCCTGATTCCACCGCGTCTTGGCACCTATGTGAGACGTGCTAAGAAAATGAGTTACTTCTCCTATTTAAGCCCTGTAGAAATAGATATGTTGAATTGATAGGCTGAGTTTTTACAATTCCTTAGTTGGAAATAATAAAAGACATGGTAAACTTGAAGAAAATGACATCAGTTGAGAGTCTGCAAATTTACTCCTTTGTTGATTTTCTGCCGATATCTCCATTTGTGAAATGCGAGAAGTAACTCATTTTGTCAGCACGTCGTGACTCATAAGTTACTGTGGAGTAGCACCTCTAATCTTTGGCACTCACGTACTTGGCCTTTATGTTTTGTGAGTGCCGTAAAACTCTTACTAAAACTGAAAGTCAGCCTATGTAGGCCTATACAAGTCATTTTTTAAAAAAATGTCACATTTTTTAAATTTGTGATTCCAGACCTAATTCCTTGGATACCAATATGAAATATTGCTAAGAATTGACTTTGACTATGATCATGAACTGGGTAAAATGTTCCTTGACCTTAAAATGAGGTTTTCAAAACTGCCCAAGGCATAGAAATTTTACAGCTCTTTTGTAAATCTTGCTCTGCAGGCAAAAATGGCAAGACCCGCAACACATATATTTTTTAAAACATGCTAAGGGATAATAGTCACGGCTCCAGGGATTAAATATTTCACAGAGCAAAAAAAATCAGTGGTGCCCGTCCTTGTCTTATATATAAAATAACCCTTTTTGTACCCAAAAATGTGCATGAGTGGTTGGAGAGCGCCAGTGGTAGGTCCTACTTCTTTCCTTTCCCTGTGTCGTTTCTGTCTGTCAGTCTTGCTTATTCCCCCTTGCACTAAGCGACCATTATTGTGCCGATGTGGGTGGTTGGTGGGTGCTCTGGTGTGGTTTGCTCCTTCTTTCCTATCAAAGACCTATCATCCTGATCTCTCCTTCTTTTTAGCATTTGTTACTCTCTTGTAACCCATCTAATCTTCAGCATTTATATGACCGTATAGTGTTACAAGTGCCGTAAAACTCTTACTAAAACTAAACTGTGCTCCTTTTTACTCAAACTGGCGTAAATGACCGTAACTTACCCCCCAAGGGCAATGCTACTGACTGAAATGTCTTTAGGCCTATCCCAAAGGGGTGGTATTAACATGTTCTTATGCACAGTAGAATTGTATATGGGCTGATTTGTCAGTGTCATGCTCATACTGTGCTGGAACAACATAGAGGGAACTGCTGTTTTTTCTTTCCTCATCCTTATTGTCTTTTTCACTCTCTGGTGAACTGCTATTTCCAGGGTGCCTTGATAGTCGAAGCAGACTTTGTGCTGTTGAGGTTAGAGTGGTGAGCAGAGTAAGCCTGATTCCCTGTTTGGACTTTTCTTTTGACATCCACCCCTTGGCCCTCATATGACCTTATGCAGTCGCGAGCACCGTAAAACCTTACGAAAACTTTAAAAAAAAACGTTATTGAGGTGATGTGCTCCTCTCTTTACTCAAACTCAGAACTCAGACAGGAAGTGTAGATATGATTGTCGAACTCACAGTAATGGGAGCTCTCGTGGCCGAGAGGTTAAGGTAGTTGCCTCTCATTCAAAGGTCCCAAGTTCGAATCCGGGTAGCAACCGAAAAATTTTCTTCTCTAAAATTGTCTCCTTTCACCTCCTTTCCTGCTGTCTAGCCATGTTATGTTGTCTGATTTCGTCTCCACTTTCTGCCCCCACCCCCTCACCTCCTTTGCCCCCTCCTCTGGGTTCCTGACTCTTTCTGCATCCTTCCTACTGCTACTCCTTGACTCCTTCTTACTGCTATTTTTCAGCCACATCCCTGATCTTACGGTAGGAAGGATCTATACCTAGCTTCTCGGACAAGGGCGAAAAATCTCGGAGGTCGCATGTGCAAGTTACGCACGTTAAAAGATCCCTTTACGGTCTAAAATCGATAAGAGTTGGCTTCCACTGCCTCCCGGGCGAAATTCAAAATTTCCTACCAAGTGAAAATGTTTAATGTATCCTGCGCAGTCATATGACTTTTTTTTTTCTAGTAGAGGGTTTTACGGCGCTCGCCACTGCATAAGGTCATATGAGCGCCATCATATGACTTTATACAGTTGCGAGAGCTGTAAAGCACTTGCCAAAAAAAAAATATATATGAAAAAAAAAAACTCCTCAGAATTCAGACATGGAGGTGTTAATTTGATTTCCTGACTCACAGTAAGGTTTTATAAGATGCTTTCTCCCCC